GATGAAGGTAATTACCTACTCTGATAAATTCAGATGCTATAAAAAAATATTTTGCTTACAAAAAAATAAAAAAATAAAAATATAAAAGCAAAAACAAAAAGTGAAAAAGAATGACATGTCTAAGTTGAAAACTTGAAAAAGACACTTGGATATAAAGGAAAAACATCATCAAGAGAAAATCTCATAACACAGGGATAAGTGTAGTTTGATAAACTCTAAAGAATCAAGGAAGTCATCTGATTTAGTTTTAAAAAAAGAATCTAAGAATATTTTGTTCATGATTATCTTATGATCATTATTTGGGCACCTTTGTTTTGACTTGAACACTTTTATTACCATGCATTTATTATCAATCTAATGAAATATGCTATCTTTCCTTTGAAAATAACACCTATTGATATTTTTGTTCACCTTACAAATGAGTAGGAGAAATGTGTGATTGTATTTTGTTTGTCTTGAACTTAAAACGATAAAAAAAAAATAAACACAAAAGATCTTAGCATTACTTTTTAAAAGTTGGCAAAAACAGATGAAAAAAGATAAGAAAAGCATGACAAGACATTGATGTTACAGACTTTTGAAGAAAAAATTATTATTGAGGAAGAATACAATGGTCAGACACTAAGAACAGATTGATCATATGGCAATTGTTGAGAATTCTAATAAAAGAAGCAAAAAGTGAGAGATTTTGAAAACCTTTTACCATAATTGGAAATAAATAATTTTAATTGCATTACATGTATTACATTTAAAGCACTCAGTACATGCATCCATGAGCAGTTATAATAAGGACAAAGACTTTCTATTTCCTAATAAAAAACAAGATTTTGATATTTGGATGAAGATAATAATCAAACAAAAGATTTCAAAAAAGAGAAATTTACTTATTCAAAGATGAGAACTCAGTTTCGAGAACATATGAGATTTTTAAAGTTATAAAGCCTCTGTTTAGAGGAGTTTTTTCAAGATGAATTTTAAAGTTGTTGAGTCTCTAATTAGAAGAGTTTTTCCAAGTTGATGAATTTTAAAGTTGTTGAGCCTCTGCTTAGAAAATTTTTTCAAGATGAGATTTTTAAAGTCATTGAGCCTCTGCTTAGAGGAACTTTTCCAAGATAAATTTTAAAGTTGTTAAGCCTCTGCTTAGAGGAGTTTTTTCAAGATAGATTTTTAAAGTTCTTGAGCTCTACTTAAAGAAGATTTTTCAAGATGAATTTTAAAGTTGTTAAGCCTTTGTTTAGAGAAGCCTTTTTAAATTTTTAAAAGTCATTGAGCCTCTATTTAGATGAGGCTTTTTAAATTTTTAAAAATTATTGTGCCTCTGTTTAGAGGAGCCTTTTTAAATTTTTAAAAGTCGTTGAGCCTCTGCTTAGAGGAACTTCTTTAAATTTTCAAAAATGTCATTGAACTTCTATTTAAAGGAGCCCTTTAAAAAAAAAAGGATTTTATGCTCAATGTTTCATCTTTTCGAACAAAATGATTATTTGTTTGTCTTTGCCTATTCTTAATTCTCAGAAATAGACAAAGAGGGACAGCTGTAAATACCATTTTATATATTTTATTATTAATATTGTTATTTTCTTTCTTTTTATCTTTTATCTTTTTTTTTTCATTTCTGTTTTAATCGATTTGACTAAAATATGAATGCATTAAATGCACCCTCATTGAAAGTCTAAAAACACCATCACTACTAGCTGCCGATAGCCACCTAACAACCTGCCTAACTTGGCAGCGTGAATTTTGACCACCAAAAGTTCAGGTCGATTGAAAATCTGGGATTTGAATATAAAAAAACTCTATAAATAGAGCTCATTACCTACACAAAAAATGGGAGCTATCAATTAAAAAACCCATAAGCTTTACAAAAGCAAAAAAAAATTTTTTTGCCAGATTAAAATAAAACTTTATGTCAAAAAAAAAATCCAAGATAAAACAAGCCAAACAAATAAAAATCAAGTAAGAAACTCAACTTTTGAAAATAAGGACCACAATGCCAAACAAAAAAAAAACAAAATAATAAAACAATACAAACACAAAAAAAAATTTTAGCCAAAACTTTTAGGTCAGATCTGTGCCATTTGAAGCCTTTTTTCATAAAATCGAGCTCAGATATAGACTCTGAAGGCTGCAGGGAGCATTTGGATGTTTTTTAAGATTTTTCAATGAACGATACGGTGGTCGTAGTTTACCAATAGTGAGAAACATGGCAATCGTTGTAGTAGACGGCCACCAACCCCTGACCTGCCTAAAAAAAAAAAAAGTTTTTTTTTGAGAAAGGGAATAAATGACAAAAAAAATTTTTGAGCCTTTTATAGAAATTGCAAGAGCTAAACTGACGTCATTTCAATAAAGATAAAATGATATCGTTTTAGCCCATTGAAGATTCGCGCGTCAACCAGTGACCTAATCCGGGCTTCACGCATCCGACCCACGACCTGCTTCTTCATTTGACTTTTAACCAGTCTAGCTGAACTGGCCCAGATTAAACCAGACTGATGCTGAACTATTGAATCGATCAAACCCGTGTTGATCGAACCGTTGATTGGTCTAGTTCAGGTAAAAAAAATTTTTTTTAATTTTTTTATATATTATTTTTGTTATTTTAATTTTATTATTAATATTTATGCATATTAAAATATTTATATATGTTAGAATAATTTTTTGTTGAAATAAATAAAAAATAAATGATGAAATATATAATAAATTTTTTTTTGATAATTTCGTTAAAATTTGGAATAAACCTTATAAAATATTTGGTAAAAAAGTTATAATTAAATAAAAATAATAAAAATGTAAGAAAAAAAATTTTTATCCGATGATGAGATTTAAAGGTATTCCAAGTAGTGATACCTATGAAATCTCTAAGTAAGAAGATTTTTTTAAATACTACCAGTGTATTGGAGTATTTATAAAAAAATTTTCAACATAACAAATTTTTTTTTTACTAATAAATTAAAAATAATAATAATATAAATGTAGAAAAAGAAAATTTTATCCAATGATAAGATTCTAAAAGTATTATGAGTAGTAATACTTTACAAAATCACTAAGTGAGAAGATTTTTTTAAATATTATCAGTGTATTGGAATATTTATAGAAAATCTTCAATATAATAAAAATTCTCTTTTCTTCAAAGATTTAAATACAAATAAAACAATCAATAAAATTTTTTAGAAAAAAGAATAAAATATGTGCATTAACATTTCGGCATTTTGCATTTCATGCTTAATAAAGTTTTTGCAAAATGTAAACTCGAGCCTTCGATAACGAGATTCTAAGATATTTCAAAAAGTGATATCAAAAAAATCTCTAGGTGAAAAGGAGTTTCTTTTAATGTTACCAACGTACTAAAATATTTTAAAATTTATTTCAATAAAAGGGTTCTAATTTATTTTTTTCAAATAAAATTTGAACAATAAATATGGAACAATAATAAAAGGTATTAAAAAAATCAAAATTTCAATAAACAAAGGAAATTAATAAAATTATTTTTTAAATACAAAAAAAAGATTGTTTTTTTAATCGAAATCAATGGATAACATGTAATTAATTGGTACCATTTTAAACAGGTGCTGTGAGGGTGCTAATCATTCTCCACACGTAACCCATTCTCAAACCTAAACTGTTTCACAGATCATAAAATTATCTTTTTAATAAATTTTAATTAATTTTAAAATCTAACTAAAATGATAAATTTTAATAAATGATCAATCTTACCTAACTAAAAAAATTGGCGATGATTTTTTTTCTTCAAATTCGTCGGATAGGTACAAAATTATTACGAAATAGTATACCTAATTCGGTGTAGTGCAAAAAAATAATCGAATACCACAATTAATAGTTTCTAGAAGATATCTTAAGATTCATTTCACAATCTAAAAATGAATATCATGAATCGCATCCATAAATTAATAGAGTTATTATATAATATAAATAATATCAGATCTAGTATTGATAAAATATTGTAAAGCTCTACCAATGGTACGATATTATGATAGGTCTGAAAGTAAAATTCTATCATTCAAAGAAAGCTTTTTACTTGTAGTTACTGGAGTTAAGTTTACAATTTTTCATTACCAAACGTGAAAAAAAGATAAATTTCTCTTTTCAGATAGAAAAATTTTGTTTGTAAATTTATCGTAAGCTTCTCAAAGTTTGAAAGCCACTTCTTAAATGCATGAACTTAAATGATTAATTCTAGTTCCTAGGCTATCAAAACTGTGTGGCTGATAATGATCCAAGAGACGGATTGGTAGGTTAACATAAACCCATTCATATCATCCTTAATTGTTTAGTGATGAAAAAAATGAATGGGCGGGAGGCGATGACAGAAGTTAAACCTATGGTTAACTTCTAGATATGACTTTTGGCAACAATAACAAATTAATCATCGTTCATACCTTGAAAAGTTGAAATCTTTCAATTAGAAGTGGTGGGTTGCAGCCCGATTTTAGTTTTCAATATCTGGTGATTTTGGAGCCGGGAAAAGACAGAATCTAGAAAAGCATCGGACCTATGGGGTCTTAAGAATACCTGGTAAGGACTTCATTCAAAGAAAAAGAAATCTGGTACAAAAGAGTGCAATAAGAGTTCTATTAGGCGTGTTCCACTCCTGTGCTTGGACTTTGGAGCCTTAGACCATGGCCTCCTGGCAAAGTCCAATTCAACAGTTTGGTGCCAAACTTTCGGTGTTAAACGAACAGCTTGTAAAATTTTGCTACTGATAGAAATTTGACAGACAGATAATTGCACTGTTTCAAGAATAATCCACCACCTTCAACCCACCATGCTCTTTCTATTTACTTACGGTACCACAAAAAAAAAAAAAAAAAAAACCTTCTCATGAGCCAAGTTTGCATTAATTTTCCAGTATTTCCATCAGTTTTTCAGCCTATCAGATATAATACATGCTCATTTCAATTTACAAGGCTAAAACTGATAGTTTGATTTAGACTACTAAGTCAAGGGCAACATCAAAGTAAGCAGTTTAAAACATAAGTTTGATTACTTTTCAGTTGCGAATTAACATTACAGAAAAAAAGAAAAATACAAAAACATCATGGTGCAACGTTTTCTTGGGTGTAAATGTAATCGGTATGAGCAGCCAAGGACCTTCTGATCAGGCATTCTTCACCATCCAAACCTTTGCACTCATCATCAATGAAACTAGATTCCTGTAAATTGTTCAAATACAGAAAAAAAAAAAAAACCTGTAAAAATATGCCCACTAAAACAATAAAAAGCCAGCAGAATTAGTATTTTCCCAGGAAAGAAAACTTACTGGTGAAAAAAATGGTATCTGGGAGTAGTCAGTCTGTTGCCCAATAGTGGTTGACAGAGGACTGGTTTGTGCAGTAGATAGTAGAAGCAAAGCCAAGATCAAGAAACTGAAGCTCTTTGCCATGTTTTTTCTTTTTCAGTTTAAAGAGAGCTAGGAGAAAGAATTACTTGAGGGATAATGGTAGCTAGAAAAGAGCTGCAGAGCAGCCTGTAATTATATGAGGGTGATGCAATTAAGGTTCCATGAATGAGCATTGAATCCTCAAACCAAAAGTCAAAAGGATGGCAATATCCAGTTTGGCGGGTCAATGGGTTAAATTGTTTCCTGGGAAACATCGCCACTGGTGGACATCATTGCAAACTGCATTTTGATTTTCTTTTTTTTAATTATTTTTTTGCCTTTGAATGATGATGTGTGATGGAAATCTAGCTGTACAAGCAGGTGTAAGATAGATGCCATGCTCATTGGCATGTGGTGCACACCTGTCAAATCATTGGGGTGCTCTAGTAAATTTCAAGGATTTATAAATTTTGTTTGATAATAAGATATTTTGAAAATCGAAATTTAGATTTCAGATTTAAGTTTTAGGGTTTAATTTAAATTTTATGATTATTTTGTTTTTTAAAATGAAGTTTAAGATAAATAAATTATAAATATAAGTTACAGATATGATATAATTTTGGTTTGAAATTGTGTGACCCAATCCATTAATTAAAATAATAAGAATATTTCATTTCCAATTATTTATATCATAATTTTATAATTAACAAATCTTAATAAAAAATTATAAAAAGATTCACCACATTAAAATACGAATCTTACAAAAAAAATTTTATAACCTCCACGTGATATTAAATTTTGATTAATTTTATATTAATAATAATTATAAATGATATCTTTCTTAAAATAAAACTTTTACTTTATTTGTAAATTTGTTAATTAATCTCATAATCAATATAACAAATCATAAAAATCACTCACAAATCACCGACACGTATAAAGAGATTTAAAACATTTTATTAAATATATGTGGAGAACAATGGGATAGGATGAGACACTAACAAAACAATACTATGAAAATTGACGATAAATTTAGCATTTCAAGGTCATTAACTTCAATGACAACTTGAGATGAGATCCAAACCGTAAGCCTTTTAAATGCCCATCATTTATAATTAAGATCCTGCCCCATTTATAATTACGAGGCTTGATGTGGAGATTGCTAAATGTTGTAAAAAAAAAAGTATCAATTTGTTTTTTTTACATATGATTTTGAATTAGTTTAAGGAAAATAAAATTTTCATTATAAAATTTGAATCTTAAACTTTTTAGTGAGCAGAAGAAAATATTATAATACAAAATATATACCTAAAAAATTAATTTTTATTATAATTAATAATGAATTAGATGGGATTTGATTTGATTATTTTAATTAATATATTTAATTATATTTGAATTATATATATTTTTTAATTTTCTCAGTCCTAATTTTAGTTTAATATCAATACTTTGGGTCAATGGGCAGGTTTAAGATTGTTTTTTTAAGCCTTGAACTCGCCTACACCCAGCCCATGAAACCTCTGATCCAATAAGCAGGCAGCCGGGCGCCAGGGCCAGGCTGCAGGCAGCATTTCTTTCAAGCGGTGGAATAGCGCCCAAAACAACTGCCATGGTATTTTCTCGTGATCGAGGATATCTGTCTTCTCACTGCGTCACTGATCGTGAAAAGATGATTGTTGAGTTCCATAATTCTAAGGTACAAACTTTAGTTTCTTAACCTGACAGGTGTTCCTATAAAGTGATTAGAGGGTATGAAATTCTTTGCTTGCAGTTCCTGTTACTTGAACAAGAAAATCACAAATCCAAAGGAGATGTTTAAAATTTTGGACAGTTCTACTAAAGAGAAGTACGCAATTGTGATAATTGCAGAGGATATTGAGCGGGAAGCTCTTGCTCCATTGAAACTCAAGGGTGTGCTGAAGGCAGCTGCTATTAAGACCGCTGCCTTTGGTGAGCGCAAGAGCCACTGCTTGGACGATATTGCTATCTTGACTGTAGGTAACAAATATTAATATTCTTGCGCTCTCTTACATTAGGAATGTATGACATTTCAATCTTACTTAAAGAGATTATGAGGACTTGTTACTATATATAAATAAATGCTTAAATTTAAATTTGTAAAGTATTTTTTGTGGGATAAGATTATGAGATTATTATATCAAATGGATAATATCTCATAAATTAGATACGAATCATCACAAATGGTATTAAAATAGTTACCAATCAAACAGAAATTAAGTACTATACCATGAAAGCCACTTCTAAAATCTCATTGTTTAGTATAATCCTGTGATATGTATATACTTTATGTTGGGCTTGTTCAACATTTGATGTGATTTGGTGGATCTTAATGTCTAATGTGGTTATATGATCTGTGTATGCTATGTGTTGGGTTTGCATAATATTTAATGTAATTTGATAGATTTGTGTGCATTTAGTATGATTCGATGGATTTATGTGATTTTTGTTGAGCTTGAGGAAGATTTCAAGGTCTAATAAAGAAGTTGTGACACCTCATTCCCATGAGAAATTCTAAAGATTTTGAGAATCTATTGTAATAATAAATAAAAGTTTAAATTCAAATTTGTGAAGTTCCTTTTATGAGATAAAATTATGAAAACTTCAGGTCAAAACTAATAATACCGCAAGTTTAGTTATTTTAAGTTAACAATATTGGAATGAGACACTATTCTCAAATGTACCCGTCACTGCAAATAAAATGGCTCAATATCTTTCATTATAGGAGGTGGCGGATGAAGGATGCATCTTTTTCCCTAGTATTGCTGTTAAGGTCTTGAAGTAAAAACATGTCTAGTTTCTCTATTAAGGCCAATATAATTATTTCTTCTTTTGCAGAACACAAAAGAAAATTTTCAAAAGGAGATACTCAATGACAGAATTGTTGGGAAAAACAACACCCACGCGCAGCAACCACACACAAAATAGCAACCTCAAATCAAGAATAAGAACACACAAATATATTTGGTTTGGCCCAACTCAAAATGGCCTACTCCAAACACAATCTACTAACAAATAAATCTTTACAACTGTGAGACTTTTAGAATGAGAAAAGTCTCCTAAAACTCCTTACTCAAAACTTAACCCAAAACCCAATTACACCCTTTAATAGCCTACTCACTTAGCTATTCTCTTGGTGTCTAACTCTCTGGGGTTACTAAACTAAAACTAAAACATCTTATTTATAAAGGTGAAACCCTTTATACTTTTACTAAACTCCCGATGTGGGATACAAGACAAACTCAAACTCACTTAACTTTCGATATGGGATTCTAAGATTCAAGGTAAATCCTAACAAATCCTCCCTTGACTTGAATCTCCAAACACTTCAACAATATCTGCAAAGCTAACACGCTTACCTTTCTTCTTTTCTTTCATCACAGGCATCTCAGCAACTGAGCCTCCATCAAACATGTACAAGTGATTGACCCTATTCCCTTGTAGAATCACACTACCATTCTTTTACACTTTCAACCAATCATTACTACCATAAAATGTATACCCTCGAGAAGCTAACTCACCCAAAGCAATCAAATTGTAGTGACAATTTGGTACATACCTTACATGACGAAGTGTCCTAATAACACCATTATGAGATCTAAGGCGAACACTCCCAATGCCTTGAATCTGTACCTTTTCTTTGTTAGCAACCACAATATCCCCATACTTTTCATTCTCATTCAACTCCACAAAGCAGCTCCTATCATTGCAAACATGAACTGTAGCAGCTGAATCTAAAACCCAACCTTTATCACTTTTCAAAGTCTGGGTCTCATCAACACAAGTTGTCAAAACAACATCATCATCATCAGACAAGACAGCAGCAGTATCACTCTTTTCTTCATCTGATTTCTTCTCATCATTCGCCCTTTTGAAAGCAGCCATATCCCTTCTCAGCTTCCTGCAGCGCACTTGGATATGTCCCTTCTTACCACAATAATAACATTCTACATCACTGTAATCTCTGTCTCTTGACTTGGATCTCCATCTCGATCCATTAATCCTCTTTTGAGTCTTCCCTCGATCAAAACCCTCTACAGCTAGTGTACTCTCCCCAGGTGATGAGTTCTGAGCTCCCATAAACCTTTCATTCTCACGCAATAGGGCAGTCACATCATCTAACTTTAAAGTAGACCTGCCTACCAACACAGTCTGAACTAAAGGCCTATAAGACTTGGGCAAAGATGACAGCAAAATTAAAGCTTTCTCTTCATCTTTTAACTCATCAACAGAAATCGCTAGCAATTGAGAAACCAATTTATTAAATTCATTCAGGTGATTATGAGGACTCATACCTTCTTCCATCTTCAGAGAATACAGATCCATCTTCAAACATAATCTATTAGTCAACGACTTCGAAGCATAAATACCTTCAAGCTTATCCCACAAACTCTTCGGAGTATTCTCAGTCAACACACTGTACTTTACTTCTGGAGCTAACGCCAATCTAATAGTACTAACAGCCTTCTTTTGAATCTTATTCCAAGTAGCATCAGACATTCCCTCAGGCTTACTACTTTCTAATGCTTGATCCAACCCTTGTTGTACTAACAGATCTTGAATCGTACTTTGCCATAACATAAAATTACTCTTTCCATCAAATAACGGAATCTCAAACTTAGGCATAGACATACCAGACATACCTTCTTCAGACATCTTCAAACATTGCTTCACGATCTCTTGGACTCACGAACCTCGAACCTCGCTCTGATACCACTTGTTGAGAAAAACAACACCCACGCGCAGCAACCACACACAAAATAGCAACCTCAAATCAAGAATAAGAACACACAAATATATTTGGTTTGGCCCAACTCAAAATGGCCTACTCCAAACACAATCCACTAACAAATAAATCTTTACAACTGTGAGACTTTTAGAATGAGAAAAGTCTCCTAAAACTCCTTACTCAAAACTTAACCCAAAACCCAATTACACCCTTTAATAGCCTACTCACTTAGCTATTCTCTTGGTGTCTAACTCTCTGGGGTTACTAAACTAAAACTAAAACATCTTATTTATAAAGGTGAAACCATTTATACTTTTACTAAACTCCCGATGTGGGATACAAGACAAACTCAAACTCACTTAACTTTCGATATGGGATTCTAAGATTCAAGGCAAATCCCAACAAGAATTGCCAGATTATCGGGAGGAATTGCGATTCTTCAGCTGAACTAATATAACAATTGCTAGCATACAGCACCTCAGTGCTCTAGAAATGTTGAAAGACTTCCATATGAGCTAATCTACTTAATTTCATCAATTATATGATAGGTTGGCGCACAAACACAAGTTGAATTGAAAGACAAACAACTCAGAATTGAAGATGCTTTGAACGCTACTAAGGTAGTGATTTTCAAATCTAGTTATCTGTAGAAATAATAAGTCATTATCATAAAATAGTATTATGTTTTTGCACCTCTTATATTTTTCTAAAAAAAATCCAGGGTCATGTGTGAGTATTTCACATTCTCATGAGAGGGTTTTGCATCATTACCTCAGCCTCTCAAGTGATTGATTTTCAATTATGAAAAGCAAGCTTCTGACTAGATATAATGCAGGCAGCAACTGAGGAAGGTGTTGTAGTTGGAGGTGGCTGTATCCTCTTGCGTCTCTCTGAAAAGGTGGATGGCATAAAAAAGCTGCTGGGTAATCAAGAGCAAAAGGTACCTAGGTTTTTTTGAAAGAAATATATAATTATTCCAGTTATTCATTGTTAAAGTCGAAAGCACAAGAAAAAAAATTCAGTGGTCAATGCATTATCAGCTGTTATTTAAATCATGATTACATAATCTATATCTAATACGTCTGTTAATATATCCAGCTCTATATATCGAGGGTACATAATTTATGATAAATATCTCAATGTTGCTATCTGTCTCTACTCTCTACTCTCTACTGACAAAAAATTCTGAGCTTTTGTTTGCAAATGTGAGCAGATTGGAACTGAGATCTGCAATAAAGCATTAAGCCATCCAACAAAACAAATTGCCAAAAATGCTGGTGTTAATGGGAGTGTTGTTGTAGAGAAGGTTGGTCTCTGAACTTCAGCATATTATAGTTCTTGGCAGCATTATGCATTTGAAGCATTAATTGAGATGTAAAACATTTTGGGGGTTCATCCTCATTATACTTCACTTGTTTCATCTTGCAGGTCTTATCCAATGATGATACAAGATATGGGTACAACGCTGCAAGAAACTCTTATGAGGATTTGATGAAAGCTGGAATTATAGATCCAACAAAGGTATCATCAATAAAATTGCCTACTGATGAATGTACCTAAATGAGCCTCTTGATGTAGGCGAGTGTTGGTTTCCTCTATATTTGTACCATAGAAAGCCCTTATTGATCTAGAAAGATATCTCTAAATGCTTCATATATCTAGATTATTGCAATGTCCACGATAAATTCAGCTCGTGTGGATTTAGCCAAAATTTTTTATTAAGAGCTCAGGAAACAAGAACGAGGCCAGTTCTAATTTGTCTCCAACCTCATGCATGGTAGACTGACTATAGGTTTGCATTTCAATGGAGTGTCTCAAGAATGCTTTAGCTACTTTAAATAATTTGTCTGACTTTTATTTGAGCAGGTAATTAGATGTTGTTTGGAGCATGCAGCATCTGTGGCCAAGATTTTTCTGACATCTGATGCTGTTGTAGTAGACATAGTAGGCAGTAAGGATATCAAGTTCAAGCCCTGCCAAAGGGAAAGCAAATGCCAAACTTAACTAACTCAGTCTTTCCTAAACAATTACTGCCCACGTATCGGTAAATGATGCACAAACAGATGATTCTCCAACCTGCTTTGCTATACAGATAACTTCTTTCATTCAAATTAAAGAAGCTTCAGTTCAAAGCAGTATTGGATCATTCAGGTATTTCGGCCTTTAGCTTTTACTTTACTGAATGATTGTGTGGCTTTGTCAAATAGGCTGCTAGCATCATGTAAAAAAAAAAAAAAGAAGTTTCCGGCTATCATTCTGTTCATTCCCTTCTTTTAGATCCAGCGGGACAAAGACAATGCATCTAGGAGCCATAAGCAGAGCGGTTCAGTTGAAAGCCTTTTAAACCGGTAACGTTAATCAATGCCAACTTCCATCAATCTGGTTACAATTCAGTTCCCTTCTCTTCTAGAAGCAGCCAGCTTCCATTAAAGAAATATGGAATTCCTTTGCTGATTTGCTTTTGCAAAGAAGGCTTTTTTGAAGTGGTAATGCTGCAAACTTAAGGGGTTGCCTGGTGTACTAGTTATTAGCTCAAGGATGATGCTTTCCCATGTATTTAAAGAGGCTGAGGCCACAAAGGAACTAGATGAAAATGTTGTCTTGTAAAAATGACAGAACATGTGTACTAATACTATTCTGGACAGAATTAAAACATATGATGCATTTGCAAAACCAGTACTTTCTCAATCTAGCACATCTATTCTTTTAAACTGAACAATGGTGCATCCATTTCAATCCTTCTAAGGAACTTTATTTCTTCACGAGGATAATTGGTTGTGATGTATTTCTTCATGGACAAGATATTGGTGTTGATAAAAGCTATGATGCGCATGGCTAAGCCTAAAGCCTGGATGAATCACATCATTTATTACGTTCAAAGAACAAATCGTCAACGGAGCGCACACTGGCTTTCAGCCTAAACTGCTAAAGAAATAGGAGAACTAAGTTTGGTAATTGGTACTCTTCCCAAGGAGATAACAAAAGGGCAGTGGAACATAAGGGAGATTAGATATTGCTAACTACGCAGAGATTACCTTATCCTTTAGCAAGATAATGTTCATCAAATAGTGACATTGAGTCGGGACAACCCTTGCTAGTTGGTTCTGTAAAACTGTCCTGGTTTGTTTTGTTGTTGGTCAGTTTCTCTCTATACGCTTTACTTTGTTCTTGAATTTTCTTTGTTTTGTTTTAACAAAAATTTTTCTTTGTAGCATATATTTTCTGCCGTTTGAATTTATAAAACACTTTTATTTATCCAAAAAATAAATAAATAAAACTATCCAGGGTTTGTTGGGTTCATCAACCCGCATTTTATCTTTTTTTTTTAATTAATATTTACAACTTATCTTTTTTGAAAGAGAAATAATAATACCACTGAAGAAAAAGACAGAACAGAACAATAACTGCGAAGTCGTCAAAAAAAAAAATGTTCAGAACCTTCCCAAATCCCAAAAATACAAGTGTTTCTGTCCCTGGGTTAGTTCTGTCTTGGATCTCTCTCTCTTTACACCTATATCATATAGGGGGAACAGCCGAAGGGGGATGAGAGATTCTTCCATTTCTCTACTGGTTTCTTACAAGAACAGGGAACTAAAAAATAAAAAAAAAAAAACCCAGCTTCAAATTTCGTATTTTATCTTGAAGAATCATCACAAAAGAGAGTGAGGAAAAGATGGTGATATTGATGGGGTTAAGCGTCCAGTCCTTACTGGATTTGGTGGTAGCTGGGATTTCTTTGATGATTGGGTTGGGAATTTTTGCTTTCATTGCTTTTATTCTTTGCTCTGCTGCTTTCTGGCACCATGCCAAAGATGTCTCTTAATTTCATATTTCAAACTCAGGTAATGCCTAATGCTTTCTTCTTAAAATACCCTTTGTCTCTTTTTTGATAATCAGATACTGGTTGTCTGTGATTCCTTTGATTTCGTTGGTTTCTGATTTTTTTCCCATGATTTTATCGAGTAATGATTTGATTAGTATACTGTGAAGGCGTGGATTTGGTTTTAGGAATTAAGAATCCCAAGTAAAGAGGATGGTAGAATTGAAATGTTCTGGTTGTTTTGACTATATTTTACTACCAGGAAACAAATCAAGAGCCTCTTGAAAACAACTCAGAACTATCAAATTACATACCATTTCAAACCTGCAGCTCAATTTCATTGTCAATTTTGCTTATAAGAATACGAGCACCGATTACTTGGTTGCATTGTCATAGTTAATGCTTATTACTTGTAGATGATGGTGATAATGTTGAAGCAATCGATGCACCTGCTTTTCTTGGAGGATGTTTACAAATACTATTACCATTGGCATCACATGGCATCCCTTACCACCATGGCAGGGGTGCCACTGCCAACATCCATGGTTCTCCAGTTAGCAGTTTGATATAACCGCCAATCCGACAAAGGGTGGGTGGGGAGGCAACGACTGTTTAACTGCAACTAGGAACCATGCCACGACAAATGATACTTTGCTAGTATTCCTAATGTTTTGTTTCTCCGCAATTAAATTGAAAAGAAAAGCAATAGAAAATGAACCTAACAGGAGTAAAACAATGGGCATCATTGTTCTCACTTCTCAGTGTTCTCAATTCTCTTTGGGAAGAAATTTCTGTTAGCTATGACTTATGTAACCCAGTGATTGCCTTTACAGAAGTTTTATGTCCATTCTAATCAGCTAGAGTATAGATTGATGAATAACACATTGAATAGATGTAAATTTTCGCAGTCCCTTCTAGCAGTCTTTTTTTCCTTTCTTTCCTTCCTTTATATTCATCTTTCTCAGCTTGCACTATCTGTTCTCACTAGTTTCCATCCCTGCTCTTGGATGTCATGAAATTCTATTTCCACCCGAGAGGAGTTAATATAACTATTTTCCACTAGCAGATCACAGACAACCTCTCTCATCTCTGAAGAAAACCATTAAAACTAAAAAGCTCTCTTAATGAAAGCTTCAGCCGCTAAAGCTCCTTGTTATTGAGATTGTTATTTCTGTTCTTTTGCAGGCTGCAGCCTAAACATTTGCTTAATGAAATAGTTGCGATGCCCGCTGTTGATCATAAACCACCCCGCAATTAAGTTCATTAGCAAATTATTAGAGATGGACATTCTTCTTTTGATTATGTCCTGTGCTGATGTTCGCTTCTTTGGTGATTTGCTTACTTGCTGTATCTTCTTTAGTCATAATATTTTCTGTAGATTACAAAAGACTCGGAATTATAACACAGCAGCAAGGAACAAAGTCAAGCAAACTGTAACCTCTGCATCTAACTATTGTTTCAGGTGTCAAAAGTGGTAAAACAGTTACAACATACAAGTAGGAAAGTGCAGTATGTCGTTTCTTTGGGAAGAAAGTTACTTTGCAGCTGCAGTTGCAATACTGGATGGGTTTAATTCGCGTCTTGATGTATCTGGGTCGAGAATGCAGGAATTCTCCTGCATTCAAAATAAAAGCTTCTGTTTCGAATAGTACCATTGTTGAATGTTTCGATCAGAGGCAATTTTCTCCTAATATATTGGTATTTATCTGTTGGTTTATCCACCCTGCACAACTATATTGGCAAGACTAAAAAATCAACTATATACTAATAATTTGCAGACACTTGGAATCTAATGAAGCAGTCACAACTTCCCAGCTCTACAATCAGGTATCCATGCTTAAAGAAATATGCCTGAAATTGGTTCTATTATGAATTATTTTGAGAATGGATTATTTCTTATACAATGATGCTGGAATTTAGAAATTGATAAGTTTTTGGAGGAAAGAAATACAAAACTATTGATTGAATGTTGAGCATTATTCTATAAATAAGATTGGAATTCAAAAAGAAAAAATGAAGGAAAAAATTACAACTGTAACTATTTCTTCTTTTTCTGCTTTTTAGAGTAGACCATGCCTCTGATTCCATCAGGATCAGCCACAAAGCCAAGAGGCCTATAGAACCCCAACACCCTTGGCTCCGAGAATAATGCAATGTTACAAATACCTTTCTCCAACAGGTCCTGAATCAACCGTTCCATCACAGTTTTGCCAAGCCCAATTCCTTGGAACGAAGGATCCACCACAACGTCCCATATTATAGCATTGAAAACCCCATCCCCTGTAGCTCTAGCAAAGGCAACAGGTTTCTGGGTCTTCTCGTACTTAACCCAAAGCATGGATTCCGTGTGTTCCAGTGCTAGCTTAATCTTTTCTGGGTCACGCCTGGGGAATCCTACAGCAACGAAGACAGAGTTGAGGTGGTCGAGGTTGAGGTCGGAGATGGTGCGGCGGAGGAAGAAGCCTCGGGACTCGAGGTCTTCGTCGGAGATGGAGTATTTGCATGTTGTTGTTGTTGGTGAAGGGAAGGTTGGGGTTCGGAAGTTGGAGATGATGCCACGTGAAAGCATTGCTTAGGGGACAATGAGAGAGCCAGAGAAGAGAGAGTGGATAATGAGATGATGTTCATTTTTTGTTTTCGGTTCTATGGTTGTTAAGGGCGGTTGGTTTGGTTGGGTCTTGGTAAGTGACAAGTAATAGAATTGGCAGAAAAATATGGGCCTTCTCCGTCTTTTTTGGTAATAAAAAAGAATGTCAGGGCCGTCACTTCTGCAACTTTGCTTTTTTTACAAAGGATATCCCAGCTTGGATAAGGAAAAGAGTAGGAGATATTTGAACAGATTTGTTGGATGTCACACCAAGCTTCTACAATCCCCAAACCCCCACTATCTTCCTCTTTCTCGAGCCCATTTGAGTTTGGAAGGGCTTCTTACGGGTGATATCTTTTCTCATTTAGAGGAGCTGTTGAAGACTAGGGTCTTTTCTGTATTTCAGGGCATAGTGTCTGCTAATCACATATATCAGGCGTTATGTGCTTCAAAATGAAAGTGTACTACGCCCATCACGAAAATTATTCACATGGTTCCTGGATTAAATGCATAATTGTAATGAACTAACCATTAAAAATTGAAATCAAATCAGAAGTATAATCTAAAAATATCTTCAGCTATCATAAGTTATCAGTGCTTATCCAACCATTTCTAGGTGTCTCATCTCCAACCAAGTCACACACACACACCACAGTCCGTTTCAGAACCTGTTAAGGCTACAATACTAAACAATGAAAACTCAGCTGCCCCAAGGAAACTGCCTACCTGTATATTTTTTGTCATTTTCTTCAATTTATGACAGGTCCTTCTCACTAGTAAAATAGAATACTATTGGTAATACTTCCTCCTTGTACGGTGTATGTTGTTGGGTTTGCATCGGTCTACAGACATCAATCTATAGACCTCGTGTATGTGGAGTAGTTTGTGTTTCAGCAAGTTGCTTGTGCTTTAAAACATGGAGTAGGAAATCTCCAATTTTGTCAAAGCAAGAGTTGAAATCCAGCCATCCTGTATTCATGTATATCATAACCTGACTCAGACTATTGAACAAAAGAAAAAAAAAATGAAAGTCTAGGTTTCTTTTTATACTTTATTAGGTCATTGCTCAGCAATTTATAGTTACTAATATTGGAAACATATACATATATATATACATATACATATATTTATGTATGAATGTATGTATATATGTATGTATGTCACATACAACATCTAGCTCTTTGAATTTTCATGTAACAATTTTTGCAGGAGAATTAAATGCACTAAACAACATTCACAAATGATGATGATGATGATGATTACAACAGCAGCAACAACAATTATAAAGTTCATATGCTACATAGAATACATCAAACACCCTGACATATGATACATGTTTCACCATAAAACACCGATGAGGTTCTCAAGTCATTCATTCCCATTCAACATTCATACTGATTTTCTGAAATCCCTCAACAGAATCTTCAGATATTCTTGCTAAAAGAGTGCTGGGTAAATTCTAAGATAACTGAAAAGTTGAGACACACCTATCCTTCCTGGCTCAAGTAGTTGGTTACCTTTGCTCTGTCTCTGCTTTGAACATGACTAACAGCACTGATTGTTTTAAGCTCTAACTTTTCCTTCCCAATTTTGTTTCTTGTTTGGTCCCTTTTGATCACCTGTTTGTGAAGTTTTTCTGTTGAGGTGGACTTAATAGTTTCATGCTTGTAATGATCCATCCCCAAATTTTGCTCACTGCTGGATGGAAGTTTGTGATGACTTGGCCCAGAAGAGGCGTCTGAAGCCATTGAGTCATCACTCTCATCATCATTCTGGCTATTGCCATCATACTCACCGATGAAATTGTAGTGATCACTTTCATGGATGGAGGAGCCAATATACATGGTCCAACCAGACTCACTGCCGCTATGTTCTTCATCTTCCAATTCCTTGAGGATATGAGATGCCTCCATGGCAGCCCCTAGAGCCAGCTGACAGGATGGAAAGCAAACTCTTGGGTAAGAAACTTGTTAAATACTTTTATTACAAAGTGGAGAGTTCTGCCTTGTTTATTACCTAGAAAGTGGACTTTTATCTTTGTCTCTCTGGACTCTTGCCTTTCGTCAAACAAATGCAACTTTACATACATTGGTCGAAGGAACCCAAGTCTTGCACTGCTTATAAAGCTACTGTAATCAATGGGTAGAGTAATCCTAGCGCCATTACTTCTCTGAATTTAATCACTAGAAGACAAAGTTTTTGTGATAAATATGTTACTGCATCTCATAAATGTGATAAAAATCCAAGCTCTTAAACAAGGAAGAAGTAAGAACGAGAGTAATTCACTTGGTTACTATCCTTTTTACCTGAGAATACCAGAACCTTTACTTCTCCCATGTATCTCATTAATAGCAACCAGCTTTTCTTTTAAGGTGGAAATTAATCAGATGAGAGAGTAAGAATCAGAACGTGGAAATCAAATGAGTCCACACCCAACAAACAAGGAGAATATTAGATCCATATTCTTAAATAGTTTAGAACACTAACTCTTCCTTATTTTCTTAATGTTCATATTATTCATTCCTATTTAATGTCTCTGTCTTGTCATGAGCAAAGATACAGCCCTTTCCTTTAAAATAATACAAAAAAACCCAACAGAGGGATTTGGGCACTTTTTATTGCACGGGAGTATATGATGTTGGCAAAAGGTTGTTTTGTTGTTCTGCTTCAATCTTCCTCAAAAGCATCTCATGTCTTTTTGTTACTTGGGATGATGTTAGCAGTAACTTATAAAAGGGCTGCCACTAATGATTCACATTTATCACATGAATACAAAAGCCCAAATGAGATGCAAGTAGTTGTTGTAACTCTTGACTTTTATGAAGTGTTTGTCCTTAATTCACCTAATCATGTGACTTAATCATGCCTTTCTGATCAAGTGGGCATCCCTATAGTTTTCTGCTTTTTTATAATCTTTCCTCATATTTGTTTCGGTTTAAGTTGGCCTAGTGAGGGCCCTTGCGTCATTCTTGCTAATTTCTAATGCTCACCCTTTAAGGAATCCATGTGACTATAATTCTTTGGAGGTTCCCGTTTTCATAATTAGACAACATGGCCCCAAACAGGAAAGCTTTCTCACTAATTGCATCTTAGCTGTTTGTTTTAGAACATCTGAATACATATGTTCCCACATTTAAAGCAATGCAAAAACTGAAAAGAACGTTGATTATTTACAGGTTTTGCTTGTTTCCTTGAAATCTGCAATTTTCATGTTGATCATTCATCATAGAATCACATTTACATTTGCTTGAATTATTCTGCTGACTGTTGAAATAGGCCTGCCTAACTGAGATCAAGTTCAATTACCTTTCAGTTTCTTTGGAACAATGCTGGCTGCAAAGATTTTTCAAGTTTTCTTAATTAGTCTAACTAAGCAAATAATTAGCTTCAATTTTGTCAGAAATAGGAGGCTGTCTTAAATTATAAATCATGTGATATGTTTGTTAGCTGTATGAAAATGAAGACATTCAAGTAGAAATAATGGCCTTCAATTTCACTTGGAACAGATTAGACAGCTGATCTGAAGAGCTGTTTCATGATGTGATTCGTCATTGACAAATTACAAGAGCTGATTCATTCAAGGGCTCACCTAATCAGACCATTCCAGATTAGACATCATCCGTGGTCAAAATAATATAGGCTGCTTTATTTAAACCTTAGAACTATAAAACTATAGCTTAAAATTTTCTTCGGGAAGAATCTCTCCAATTTCAATTGGACAAATTGCACTACCTTGCTTAATGAAAATTTAGAGGAAGTTCCCATGACAAACCCTTCTTTGTTTGATCAATTGTTTATGATATATTTCTTAAAAGTTTCCTTGAATGAGTGAAAGGAAGAACATGAATATTTCAATTTATTTTTTACTAAAGAATTTGGAGTTAACAGTTACCCAAGTACCAAAGTTGCATCCTATTGATAACTGGATGAAATTTTAAGGGGCAGTGGTAGGGGACCTCTCACTTCACCAGCAAGAAGGGAGTCCAGCCCCCCCACTCTGCCATTTTTCCATTTTGGAGGTAGGTACCTCTCACTTCACCAGCATTTTCAACTTGTCACTGATACCTTCTTTGGAAGATTAGGGCGAACTGCTAAGGTAGGTAGATGCTATGTCAGATTTCTTACACCAATACTACCAAAGTTTTTGCTATAACTGTTCTTAGGTTTTGCCTTGAAGCCTGTAATCAACCTGCTTCAATTTGCAGCTAGGGATGCAAATAATTTAGCTGCATTGCTGGTTCCCCAAACTCAACTCAACTCTACTCTGAAAAAGGTTTAAGAAATCAAAGTTTATAGCAGTGAATGATACTGAAATTGTTATTACTACCATTTCTTGGCTATAACTGCCACTATCTTCCAATCCTTTAGCTCTAGAGGGTAATGGCGACTTTAGCAGCAATTGGAAAAAAAAAAAAAAAAAACAAAAATTCACTCTATTATTGTTTTCTTGGACAAGAAATGTTTGGAGAAGTGGGTAATTTATCATAGGCCAATTCCTTGTATTCCATGCAGAAGAATTTGGAAAAGAAAACCCAAAGTTTGATCTTCTTGGGCCTTAAGGTTCCTTGTCTGGCCAGCATACTATAAGTATTGTCCCTAGTCTAGAGGGCCACGAGCTTCAACCCAATGGCTCATGCTCCAACTTAGGGTTGGATCATCTGCAAGGCCGAAGTTTGATCCTTCTCTTACAATGTGACTTCTGAAGCATAATTGCCACCTTAATGTATTCCATCAGAGTTTGCATTGACTGAAACTTGAAAATTTTTTTCAAATTTGAATCCCTTAATTCAATTTGATTAAAAAAAATTAATAATCCAAATTCATCAATTTGAAACCTGAAATGACTCCAAATTAAAATAATTTAATCTCAAAACAATTCGAATTTCTTTCGACTTGGAACGGCCAAACCCAAACTTAATTTCAATGAATACCAATCTTTTTCTATGATATCTTTTGGCTCATGTAATTTTGGGTGAAGGAAAAAAATCAAGCCATGAAGGTGGCTTTCTGCGATCACTCAAAGAGTGAAGACCATGTGCCTAAAGCAGCTGCCAGTGGGTGTGTGGGTAGCTCCCAACCTCTTTTATGGGTCCTTTTTCACTTAACAAGAAGTGTCATCCATTTTTTGCTACATCAATTTGCATTTGCTTTCAACCTGTTTAAGTAGCACATTGAATGAACCCCTTTTCAAATTCCTGTCAGATAAATATAGTTGCATAAATTTTGCTTTATGAAGAAGCCACAAAATCTGGGACTTTGCATCTTTAAATGCCTCCAGGTAGGAGAGGGGGCTCTGTCCTTTAGGGCTCTTGTTGGTGCAAAAGTGTACTTGATCAACTGCAATAGCTCAGTTTCGACCACAAAGGTCATTTTCTCTGTTTATAATTGAAAATGATGAAAATATCATACAACGTATAGCAATTAATGGATTGAAGTTCTTTTATAGTTGATTTAAATGTCAATTAAATTCATTTTTACGTAACTCTCCTCTACATAATACCAATAGACAATTAGTCATCAATAATAGTATTCATTATTATTACTATTATTATTATTTTGTATGCCACATATAAATATAAGCATATATGGACAATTTTTTAGTACAAAAGAAGTATTAGTATAAAATAAAAATATTATAAAATTTCAATTTCAATTTCAATTTAAATATTTTTTAAAAACAATTACATTAATTAATCAATTGATTTAAGTTTGGGTTTACGGCAATTCAAACACAAAGGGCAATATGGTGAGTGGGTGACCCAAAAAGTAGTGGCAATTTTGAGAATCTAACAAAACCAGGGTTATTTATTCGACGACTACGTAACTCATTCTTTCGCTTCATTATTTTTTCCTCTCTCCTTTTGGGCCCAACGAAAGCACTGTTTTCCTTGTATTCATTAAAAAGGAAATAAATAAAATAAATAAAGATATAAACAGAAAAGCCAACGTCTCTGTGTTCCTGTGCATGTGATCCACACCTTTGTTCGTTTTTTTTTTTTTTTTTTTTTCTGGTTGTTTCCAGAGAAAATTTTGGATCGAAAATCAAAACTTGAGGCAAAAGAAAAAATGGGTTTGATTCAAGTTGTCAAATCAATCAATTGGGAACAAGAAGCTTACCCTGCTTATGAAGATTTCATTGTACTTCCTTTCTTTGTTCTGTTCTTCCCTTCTGTTCGATTCTTTCTCGATAGATTCGTCTTTGAGGTACTTGGTTTTATCTCTTTTATCCTTTTTATGATAATTTGATTGGAGTATTGATTGGTTTCTTTTTCTAAAAGAAAACAATGTTTTGACTTTTTGTTGAAAGTTTTTTTTTTCCTTTTTGGTGTGTTTGATGCTTTATCGTTTAGTTTTATTGAATTGTTTTGATGGGTTGCTTTTGTTGTTATAAGATTGACAAATAGAAGATTCATGGTTTTCTTTTATTGTGTTCTTGCTGCTGCTAGTAGTTTGCTGCATTTGAATGGTATTACATGGGCTTTTATGCTTCACAAGAGGCTTTATATGATGCTATGAGTGATAGTGAAAAGAATTCAATTAGGGTTTTTGGAGTCAGATCCTAGTAAAGATTATGATATGGAGAATCCATTGAGCAATTTTTCTTTTTGCATTACTCTTCACTAATGGAATTCATTTAGTTTGGACTTAATGGGAGTGTTCTTGGCTATGTAAATGCATTGGTATTGGAGTGGCTGCATGTCGTCTCTATCTAAGTTTCTTTTGGGCTACACAATGGGGGATTGCTCTTCGAAGTCTTAACACCCCAAAGTCTACGGCATATCCCGTTGTGTTTGAGCCCATGGCTTGCAGATTTCAATCACAAAAGAGCTGGTACTTGAACCACCAGGCAAGAGGCCTAGGTTTGTATTGGCCCTATTGGTCTTAGTTAGTCGTACCATTGCATTGTCTTACTAGCTGAATCTATGTTCTTGACAATTACTCATTAATGTTGCCAACATTAGAAGATGAGGCCTGGAAGTTTGAACTTCAGAATTCATGATGGTTGTAATGTAATTATTCTGTTATTGTTGTTGTCCTTAAAATTCTAACATTTGCCCAAAATACTTGCTTCCAGTTAACAATTCATATCTTCTAAGACACATTGAAAGTTTTCTTTTTTTTGCTACATGTTTAGCTTGTGCTTGAACTTGAGAATTCTTTGGAAGCATGATGTTTAACAAACTTGTATTAAGAATTCTTTGGTGGCTTGTCCTTGGGAGTTGCTGCTGGTCTTTATTTCTACATAACACTACTGCATTGTGTGTGGGCTTGTGCCGTGCTATTTGAAGATTTACTTTAAGATTATTTTCTATGTATGCAAGTGCTGTGTGTGTTGATATACAAGTATTTTGACTAAAGTTTGAAACTTCCACCATTATAGGGAGACAGTTTGTTTCAATTTACTTGCTAAATGACTTGAAATAAATTAAACTGAGGCGACCATTTAGTGCAGATAAAGTTTAATTCATTGTTGATATGAATAAGCATAAGTTAAGTAGATTGAAGTGTTTGTCTTGAATGTTTGGGGGAAAGGAAGTCTATGTTTGGCTTATTGGTTTTATGTAATGTAGTTGCTATCTGCGTTTAACGGGTTTGGTCACTCCTCTCCCATGTTTCCTGTCTCTCTCTTTTTCCTGTAACTGTCCTTTCTCCTAACAGTTTATTCATTTGGAACATATCTTACATGGTTTCAGAAAGTTGGAAGGCGGTTGATTTTTGGAAAGGGACACCAGATGCTGGATACTAATACAGAGGAGAGAAGGAGAAAGATTAGAAAATTTAAGGAGTCGGCTTGGAAATGCATTTATTATCTTTCGGCAGAAATTCTGGCTCTCTATGTAACTTATAATGAGCCCTGGTTTAAGAATACAAGATACTTTTGGGTAGGGCCTGGAGATCAGGTCTGGCCTGATCAAAAAATTAAGTAAGCTTCATCGACAATATACAAATTAATTGCTCCTTTTTGCTTCAAATATTAGAAATGGCTTAAAAATATCCTTGCATTTATTACACATTCAGAAATATGAGAACTGCAGCTTTATGAACTCAATAGACTAACTATTATGTTTCTCTTCCAGATTAAAATTGAAGGGACATTATATGTATGTTGCTGGATTTTATACATACTCTATATTTGCTTTGATTTTCTGGGAAACAAGGCGTTCTGACTTTGGAGTCTCAATGGGTCATCATGTTGCAACAGCCATCCTCATTGTGCTATCTTACATATTTAGGTATGCCTTGACAGGTTCTTACTGTAATATAAGATATTAGGCTTGTAGATTTTTAAAATTTTATAGAATGGTTGTTTCTTTTCTTATGCCAGTTTCTTGCAGATTTGGCCGTGTTGGTTCAGTTGTTTTGGCAATTCATGATGCTAGCGATGTATTTCTGGAGATAGGGAAGATGGGCAAATATAGTGGTGCCGAAAGACTTGCTAGCTTTGCATTTCCAACTTTTGTATTGTCTTGGGTCTTGCTGCGCCTCATATACTTCCCTTTCTGGGTCCTTTGGAGTACAAGGTTTGTATAAATTCATGTCTGGTATATATTTTCTGCCCAACTTTTATGAGGTCTCTTTTTAAGCACTTGAGAAACACACCCAAATCCATTCCTTATACATAGCACTGAAGTTGAGGGAGGATAAAAGCAACCATAAAAAATGTTATGCTTACACAGAATAATAACTGGTATTGAAGTAACCAGCAATCAGTATGCTATCTCTCTCTCTCTCTTTCTATATATATAAAGAAAGATAGAAAACTTCTCTGGATTTTTTCCACTTACACATGATCCCCGTTGTAAGGCCTAGACATTGGAATAGTCCAGTAATGTGAAATTTATATTTTAGATCTCTAGATTTTAATCTGAATTTGGAACTTTGATAACACTCTGAATGGCTAATAAAAGAATTTTGTATCATGAGCACCCTGCTCCATGTTTCTCAACATTGAAAGTTTAACCCTTTTCCCCCATGATATCTGAGTAATAATGGATCCCTTTTGCTATCTGCTTGCTTCAGTATGTATAAAAGATTTATTCCACTGATTTATTATAATTATTTTGGGAGTGGTGAGTTCTGGGGTTCCAAGGACTATTTCTTGCTACAATATGACAGAAACTGTCTTTCTCTTAATGAAAAATAAATACAAAGTTTGCCTCCTGGTTTTGATATAATCCAGACAATAAAAATTCACTTAGATTTTTTTTCTAATTTTGTTCTTTCTATTTATCTTATTTATCTCTTCTATTACAGTTATGAAGTTGTCCAGACATTGGACAAGGAAAAGCATCCAGTGGATGGACCAATTTGTTATTATCTGTTCAACACACTTCTATTTTGCCTGCTTGTGCTTCATATTTATTGGTGGGTACTCATGTATCGAATGCTTGTCGAACAAATCCAAGCAAGAGGCAAAATTAGTGAAGATGTTAGATCAGGTAAGTACAGCACTATTTTTGTCACGTGGAAATTACTGCATGTAAAGACACAGATGAATTATATGAAGTGATAAATCAATCTCAATAAGAATTTCAAACGTGCAAAGCATGAATTTACTATTTTTATTTTTTTGTCAACTGGCTTACGTCCTGATTGATAAATAATAATTGGGGGTACATGGAGTAATCAATCATCAGATATCTAATAACTGGTCATATGAAATCACTTGAACTGAATGTCGATTTTACCCACCTTAGGATACTGCACAAATTTTTGCTCATATGTGTAAATAACGCTCTACACGAATGAATGCTGTAAAAAAGAGTTTCATACCCTTGTACATGCATATTGTCATTTCACATTCCTCCATAACGTGCTTTCAAGTGGCTTTCCCTTTAACTTCATAGCTGGCTGTTTTTTTTTTAAGTTTTCATTTTGACCTTTTATTATCTTATGCAGATTCTGAAGATGAACATGACGATTGATCTAGAAAGAAGAAATACTGCATTAAAAGGATGGCTGAAAAGGTAATCTTACTTTTACTTGAATGCCTCATAGCACATCGATTTTGTGTGAAATTTTGGTTTTCAACGTCTTTTCATTGACTTCTTTCTCTGTAAACTTAATACTGTCCATTTTCACTCAAACTGATGGAAAGCTCTCTTTGTAAGTTCTTCTGCAGATGGAGAACAACCCTGATTTACACATTGTATTCTTTGTATGTCCTTGTAAAGGGAAGTTTAATATTGTTTGGTGGTGAGGTTCGGAAGCATTTCAGAGGGTTCGGATTGAAGAGAAGTTTAGTTGTTGATTGTTGATGTCAGGGTTTGGCACCTTACAGTTCACAATATTGGGTCTAGTCACCACTAATTCTTGTTGTAAGAAAACACGTTGCCATGAAACTGTAATTCATCAACTCGAAGATAACTCTGCAGCCTAGTTAAAGGTTAGCTTATGGATTAAAAATTTTTACTCTTGAACCAATGAATCTTCCTTTTTGTTTTTTGTCTAATTGAAGCTCATTATTGCATTGTAGGTTCAATTGTCCATAGAGATTTTTAGGATTAGATTGTTGGTCTGAATCTGATTGTTAATTTTAATTAAGACCGATTCTTGAGGTTGATTTTTTTGTCCTCATGAAAGCATAGCATTTTATACTCAGTTTTATTTTTTATGGAGTCTAAAAACTTCCCTGCACTGCACGTATATAAAATTTAAATTTTCCTTTGTCTAATTCTTAATACACTAACATTGGTTCTCAAAAAAAAATCTCAAAATTCAGTATAAATTTTATCATTTGAATATTTGCTATTAATATATATATACGGACATGAGAGAAATTATTTGATATACTAACAATAGAGCTTTTTAATTTTATAAACGGAGTTAAGATGATGATTAGGGATGTGATTAATTGAATTTGAATTGATACAATATTAAATTCGAACTCGATTCGAAATTTGAGGTTTGAAATTCTGTTTGAATTCGTTCAAATTTTGTTTTTTTAACTTGAATTAGACTAGAGATAAAAATAAAGTTATTCGAGTTTGTTCGATTAGACTCGATTAATATATAAAAATAAAATTGATTATTTGTGTTCGAGTTCGAGATATTTCATTAATTAAAATAATAAAAATATATTTAAATATAAAATTTTGATTAGGCTCGCAAGCTACTCAAATCAAGTATAAAAATGTTCGAACTCAGCTCGATCGATGAGTCGAGCTACTCGAGCTCGAGCTTGAGCTCGACTTGATAATAATTGAGTTGAATTCGAATTTTATTCGAATCGAATTCGAGTAGCTTGCGAGTATTAATGTATCATTTATACTCTTAATAATGACAAATAATTTTTTTAAAATTAATTTTTTTAAATATATAAAAGATGTATTTCATCTTAATTTTACTTGTGAAATTAAAAATTTTATTGTCAGTGCATTTGATAATTTCTCACATATATATATAAATATATATATATGTATATATGTATACATATATACATGAAATTAAAATCTTAAATTCATTTGAAAAAAATACTCAAAATTGTATTATAAAAAGAAATGCATAATATTTAAATAATTTCTCTATTAACAATTTTGATTTTTGATTAAAGAACTTAATAAATTCGAACACTAATAAGTTCACATTAATTTATAAACCTAAAACCAAATATCTTTCTAAAAAATAAAAAAACTTACAAAATGATCATTAAAATACCATATTTTTTATTTAATAAAAATGATTACCATTTTAGTTTTATTTATTAATAGTGATTTAGAAGGAATATAAAAAATCTTCCCCGATAAGTTCTTTTTGGTAAGAAATTCTCTTATAAAATGTGTATGGCTAAAATATCTCCTTTTTTTATAATTCCTTCCTCTTTCAGATCCTTAACTTCTCTATCTATTTCATGATTATTTCATGATTTACAGTGATACAAAATGAATACATTTTGCAGTTGTTGTTATGGTTTTATAAATTCTTTGCATCAAAATTTTTATAAAATTATAAAATAGATCATTAATTCACTCATTTAACTGAAAAAAAATTACTGTAATAAGATTTTTATGAAATAAATTATTATAATGATAGACATATCTTTATAAAAATTATATCACTGGCTCGACGTTAAGCTAAAGGAGTGTTGAATACCAATTAAAATATCTTGATTATATATATGATCTATGAAATAAAAGCTTCATCAAATTTCATCTCTGATGCCATCTAGGGCAGGGCCAGTTGGGGAGGGCCGGAGGAGCCGAGGAGGAGAACAAACACCGTCTCTCTTTACTAACGGGTAAGTCCCTTTGCTTCTTTCTCCTTTTTCTTCAAAACCCCAAGCAAAGAGGCTTAACTTTTTTTTAACCCATCTTTGTTCTTAATTCTCGTTGAACACTGTTCGATTGTTTAAATTTTTATGCTTTATTAAAGGGGTCTGGGCATAAAACAAATCAGTGCAGTTGTCATCGGACAAAATTCTTGTTTAGATTAATTAAGTTGTGAAGACAACTTTTCCCAGTTATGCATATGAAATATTTGAGAAATATGACAGAAGGAAAATTGGGTTTCCTTGTATGAGGAGGAAAAAGAGTGATTTAATGATTGTATGTATGAAGTTTGCCTTCAGGTTGTTTTTGGAAGTAACCCATTTTTTATTTTCTAATTTCTTTTCCTGGTTTAGTGAAGTGTATCATGAAATTTTTGTGATGTTGGAGTGTCCTTCCCTTTGGGAAATGCCCAAAAGATCATATCCAAAGAAATAATTTTAACTCTTACACAGTGTTTGAATAAATGTTAATAAAAAAAGAAAAAAAAATTTAAAAAGAAAATGATTTATGTATGTCTATAATTAAAATTAATAAAAAAAATTTTTAACAATCATTGTTTAGATAAAAAATAAAAAAAAATTCATTATAATAATTTTTTTCAATTATAAATTTCATTATCTGTAATTTTAGAATACTCTTAGATCATGATATATTTATTATCTTGTTTGATCTCAAAATTACTACTATATCAATAGTTTTTAATCAAGTAAAATAAAAAGATATTTTACAAACATATATGGATAGATTTTTTGGTCATTACTAAAATTTCAATGTACTATCACTTTGACGATGTATTCATATAAAACTATTAATATAAAAAGTGTAATTATATAAAAATATTGCGTACTAGCAAATTATATGTTCTTTTGCACCAAACAAAAAATATATATATATTAGCATATAGTTGTCTAATATAAATTTATTTTACCAAAAAATAATAATTTTGAAAAAATTACAAGAAGATTATAATGTGATTTGATTTATTTATTAAGTTTTTAGTATTAATAAAAATATGAATATAATAGTCTTTTATAAAAATAAATTTTTTTTTAACTTTTTTTTTCTTAGCATCTTTTTCAAATTGAAGTATTAAAAAAATAAATATTACAAGGAAAAACAAAGGTTATCGATTTTTCACTTTCTTTTTTTTTAAATTAAAAGTTAATCCAAACAAAAAATTTTTTTTTTTATTTCCATTACTTTCTTTTATTTTATTTTCATTTCCTTCTCATCCCCTCAATCCAAACATACTGTGAGTCATTTATAATCTTTGTCGCAAATTGATATATATTTTTTTCAATTTCAATCTCTTATACCCAACTATCATTTTCTGGATTTATAGATCGATGTTGATGATGTTTCTGTGTCCTTAATTTGGCAGTTTGAACTTGATTTTAAATTGTAACAATGGTAGATGTCATAATGGAAATACCCCCACCTTCCAGATTCTTTTAGGAAGATCTTAACAACTTTATGCCTCCATCCCCATCTCTTCCGTTGCCATTCCTCGTGCTTTCTAATCCTAAGCGTGATAAGCCCCTTCGCCCATCTCTCCTCGTCATTGCGTTATCTTCTCCGTCTTCGAATATATTCCACCATTTGTCACTCAAGGCCTTGTCACCTAATAGATGTTGAACCCTCACTTGGAGACAAAATTTGCAACATCTATTCCCTCAATGATGGGGATAATTCTACTCTTCTTGTATCAGTTCAACACGGTGCGTCTTCAGAGAGATCTGAGGATATTGTTCCTGAGAGAGGGTTCTGACTTTGGATCCAATTCAGAGCCAGAACTTCAGGGGCAAGCTCTCCCCAGATGAAACGAATGCTTTTAAGCTGGAGACATTAGCAGAAAGAAAAGGATTGAGTGGTGGCAATTTAGGTTCCTCCCTGCTAAAGGGTTTAGACTATTTTCCATCAGGTAGTTTGATTGATGGCCTGTCTGCTGCTCCATTGAGTCGATGCCAATTGAAGAACATAAAGGAAGCATTGTGTGTTTCATGGCCTGAATTTGGTAATTCTGTGGTGGCTCAGATTAGATCTCTACTGCAAAGGAATGCGCTGCCCAGCTTGGACTTGAGCTTAAGGGGAGAGTTGCTGCATCAATATGCAAGGTTCAATCGGATTAAGCATCAGGCTCATGATACTGCATTATATACATAGTGAACAAGGTTTACGCATTCACAGACTTTACTCCCTGCTAATTGTAATAAACATGTTTTTTTCCACGACATTATATGTCAGTCTTGAAATATCAACGTAAGATTTAGGCCTTGTCTTTGGCATTGGTAGGTTGGATTGCCTTAATTGGTTTCGAACTGTGGAAGGAGTATATTGTCTCATTCTGATTGCTGTTTGCAAGTAAGCATAGAAAGCTGGGTTTTGCCAGTAAATTGAAACCAAATAATAGGATTGTTGGGACTGAGACTTGATTTTTCATGGTCTGGCTGTTGGTTATATGCAAAATGATCACTCTAGGGGCTCACACCATTGGAATGGCCCGCTGTGAGAATTTTCGAGCTAGAATTTATGGAGACTATATAGCAACTTCAGGGAAAAACCCACTATTCGATTCATATCTCGAAAATCCATTTGCCCTGCAAGTACTAGCTCTGGAGACAATAATATAACAGTAATGGACAAAGTAATACCAAATCTTTCCGCCAATTCTTTTACTGCACACTGCTGAGAGGTGAAGGGTTGCTTAGTTCAGACCAGGAAATGTATTCCAGTATTTTCGGAATCGAAACCGAAGAGATTGTCCAGAAACATGCAGAGGACTTAATGGTGAAACTGGGAAACATTAGTAATTAAGATAGCTTTGTCAATGGTGAAGGAAGAATTGAAGATTTGTCGACACTTACTTGCAAAAACACTGTTATTTAAAAAAAAAACAAAAAACTGCAATTTAGAGAGTGAAATGAGTTGTATGTATTGAGATTTAAATTACAAACTTATTAAATGTTAATG